AGAAGCATTTCTAAACCCATTTGCCTGACTTTCTTTCACCATAACTATTACTTTTTATTGTTCTTGCTCATTCATTCATTCATTCCACAAATAGTTTACATTAGCTGCACATTCCAGGCCTTGGGGACCAGTCAATATTCATAGTAGGCAAAGTCTTTGTCTGAAAGGAGCTCACTTTATGGCAGATAGTACAGAGACATACCGTAGATTGCCAGACAGGAGTGAGTGTTAACATGGGAGAGGGTGGTCAGACAAGGCCTCTGCAGAGGACATCTGAGAAAATAACTAAGTAAGCAATGGGAGCTGTGTGACTATGGGTGCTGAAGACGGAGGAGCAGCAAGTGTAAAGGCCTTAATGAGAGTGAGACTAGAGGAAACTTCCAGTATGGGTGAAGCTGAGAGTTCAAAAGGGAGAACAAAATGAGTCTGAGGGTTGGCCAGCATCCAGGAAGACTTCGGGATTTTATTCAGGAATGTTATGCAAAGCTCCAGGCTACACATCATTTTGAAAAGGGAAGTGACATGATCTTACCAACGAGGCATTTTTAGAAGGATTTCTTGGGTTACTAGGTGGAGAATAGTGGGGGGATGGGGTGGCAGGAGGTTTGGAAGGCTCTTCCAACCCTGTGGCATGGTCCCGTGTCTCAAACTAGTGTTTTCCAACATTTAACTTTTCTGTCAGGCAAAACAATTAAGATGTCGACTTAAGTTCTGTTAACAAACCACACAACTTTCACAGGTCCTTCCCTCCCACTCTACGGGTCTGACTCCTCCTGTGCAACCAGCTGTGAAGCTGGTCGGCCAGCAAGGCTCCTCCCGCCCCCAGCCACCCCCTGCATCCTCTTTCACTGAGGCTGCCCTCTTTCTAATACACGATGCCACCCACCTTTTCACCTTCTTTCACACTGCAAAGTTCCTGGCAGCTTTCAGGGAAAAAAAATAATAACTTGAAATCAAAAACTGAATATTCCTTGACAAAAAAAAAAAAAGATAGATGTTTCTACAAATAAAGTAGAATAAAGTTTCTACAAATAAAGTTATGTGTATTTAATGTAGAAAATTTTCCTCTAAAACACTAACTAGGCATATAGGAGAAAAACTCAGCTTTGAAAATTCACCTTCTTGAGATTGAAAGGTTTTCAAAAAAGTCAATTGTGAATAATTTCCTAATGTCTAAATATCTAGATGTTTTCACCATGGCATGAAAACCTTCCCTTCATCTTCTCATCATGAGGAAGATGGGGGATTAGGCCTCTTTCTACGGAGAAACAAGAAGTCTTTGTAAGTTGATATGTTTTTGCAATAAAGGGGGCCTATTGCTTCAGATTTGTTCAATATTTTAATTCGTTTATTTAGGTAGAATTTTTAGTGCCCTGAAGAGTCTGTGAATATAATATTGAGTTTTGAATCTGTAAGAAGAAATATTTTAACTTTTCCTTTGACTTACTTAAAAGCCAATCATGAATTTTTAAATATAAAACGAAGTAAAGGCTTGGCACCTGTGGCTCAAGTGGCTAAGGCACCAGCCACATACACCTAAGGTGGCAAGTTCGAATCCAGCCCAG